ATTTACCCATTTACTTTCCCTAGAAACCCCTATCCCATCCCCCCTCCTCCTTTATGCTTTTATACCTTTTTAATTTACATGTATCTCTTAAGGTCAGTGCTAGGTTGAGGGTCTATCAACATAGTAGATGCAAATAGTCAAGGAACAAGCAACACAATAAACACAAATAGTCAAAGAAAAAGCAAGGCATTAAACCCAATTACATGAGCACTCCCATAATCACTGTTTCTAAGGGCTTATCAGGATGACCAAACTATCTGAGCCTACTTCCCAGTCCTAGCCCAAAGTCATTTTCATGTCTGAAGCCTACTTCATTGTTCTAGACTAAAATTTAAATTCCTGTCTGAAATTATTTCTTTGTTCTGGCCTAATATTTAGGTTACTGCATGAGATTACTTCTTTGTTGTAGCCTAAGATTTAGATTCCTACCTGAAACTACTTCTTTGTTCTAGCCTAATGTCAGATTCCTGCCTGAAGCCTACTTCCTTGTCCTTGGCCAGTGTCATATTCCTGCCAAGAAGCTAATTTCCTTGTGCTTGGCCCATGTCAGATTCTTGCCAAGCATCCCCAAAGGTTTTCCATCTCTCTCTCTCTTTTTTATTTCATTAACAAGACTGAGCCTTTCTTAGGTTGTTTCTTAGGTTGTTGGTTGAATGTCTTCCTTACCTGTCATGGAATATGCATTATCAAAAAACAGTGCACTTCTGCCTTAGCTTGCTAAGGCTCTGTGCAGAACCTTATCCATTCTTGGCTTGACAGCTTGTTAATTTAATAATTCTGTCTAGGGGTCCATTTTCAGGTTCAAGCCATGTACTTTGGCTGCCAACATGTAGATGTTGTTAAAGTTTTAACACAATGAGCAGGAATAAAAGTATTCCCAGGACAAAAAGGCCTAGCATGATCAAACTATATATGCCATTTTTGAAACTTGACCAAAATAGAAATACTGACCTCAGGCCATGGCTGACTTTATCTACAGTATCTACCACATCGACACTCAGCAGAGCAGCATTCTTGAAATTCATAAGCTCCCTTTGTATCATTAAAACATCCCAAGAGGTGTTAGAATTATGCCAAATACACTGCAAGTGTCATTAAACTTCTTCATAATTATAATGACTACCACGGTAAACTGTAGAACTAACATGAATTCAATGGTATTTAGCATGACACTCAAGATGGCACCTTCCCTACTTTTGTTAATCGTTTAACAAAATATGTTACTAATGTGTTGAATATACAAGAGGTTTTAGATAGGCAGTTAATACTTTCTTCACTAATGCTAATCTGCATCGAATTGCTATTTAAAGTTAACTAAGACTCTTGCTAATAATCTGTTGATGATTCTTAAAGCTATCTACATAATGAGTTCCTCATTTCTTTACTGTATGATTTAACCAGCTTGGTGGCTGTCAGGGGTCTTGCATCATCACCACAGACATGTCATTTACTTGTTCCACCTGGAAATGTAATCCAGTAATTTCAGCTAATTTTCATCCGTGAAAATCTTGTGTTAGCTTCTGTTGTTTTCATATGTGATGTTTGCCATGGTATGGTGCAGTCCACGAGATGAATCTCATGGGCTTTCCCAACCCAGTTACTTGCCATTTGCATTTTCTGAGAGGCTTGGTACATTAAACATCTCTTCCTATTCTTGTGGCTTTGCCATACTTACAAGAGTGACTAAGTTATAACCATACAGCTCTTAGGCCATCCATATTGTGTGCCACCCACTCAGATGGTTTACACTGGGGTCATTCTGAATCCCAAGCAACCTTAACAGTTTTGAAGCATAATGGTTATAAGAACCACAGCATAAATGCTTTCTTACCTACATTATACACTGGTGGTGTTAGAATACTCAGAGTGACTTGAGGAAAGAAGAGTTTTATTTTGACTCTCATTAGAGGGCACAGTTCATAATGTCCAGGAGCACATGGCAGCAGAAACTGTGTCAGTGAGTTATATTGCATCCACAATCAAGATGCAGAGAAAATCAAGTGCTATGTATAACTTGTTTTATTTGATTTTATTCAGTTCATGACCTTGCCCATTGACTAGAACTACGTTAGTTAAACCAGTATAGAAACAATCTCAGAGAAATGCCCAGATATTTGCTCTTTAGGGACTCTTCATTCAGTAGAACATCAATATTAACTGTCACAAGTGTTTTCTTGCACCTTAAGAACCCTAAAGAGCAGCAGAGGGGAAACCCACATACCCTTCCCTTGTTTAATCCCATCCCCACCAAATCTCTTTCCAAATTTTCCATACATCATTACAGATGATTCCCCTTCCAGGCAACATGAGATTGCAGTTTTGTTATATTCGCTAACCTGTATACTTTTCTTCTACAATATTTCTGCTCTAAATCTTTTGGTCAAAAAACTTGTTATTGAAAAGACAACACTTTTTTATTTTCCTTCAGCATCTTCAAGAACCATTCTCTATAGCCTACATATTTTTTATGTATAAAACAAAAGACTAAGGGGTTTCCTTTAGAAATTAAAGGGGCTAATATAAAATTTAAGAGGACAAATTTACCATTAGCTGTTTAAGATAATAAAAAATAGGACTGCCTTATAATAGTTTTATTGACAATTTAATTCTTGCAAAAATCTCAAACCCAAAACAGATATTTTGAAAATACAAAATGTTCATATTAAAAGAATTTGGATAATACATTAAATCAAAAAATACCTTTTATAGTAAGTTATCAACATCTTACAGGTATTTTTAATTTTTTTCAAGATTTACAAACTGTTATAAAAATCAATAAATTTCTTAGTTCGTATCAGTCAAATCTTGACTTTAACAATGAAATTAAAACTTAAATTGATTTTCAACTTAAAATGTACATGTCTATTTTAAGATAAATAAAATACAGAGTAGTTCAATAAGTTCACAATGATCCTGTGAACTTACAACTCTGTGCTGCAATTAAACTTACTGATAGAAGAAACTTAATACTTTCTTACATACTATAATATTCAATTGTGAAAAGAAAGCAAGGAATAAAATTACATTTCATTCTTTTTAACATATATTAATAAAAAATGACTAATATATAGAATCAGTGAAAAATATTTTCTTAATGAGGAAGTAAAATACACTGTTTTGTATAATTGGAAAATAGCAAGTTTTTGGTATTGTTTTCATGCTTTATTTATAGAAATTCTATGTTATTGTAGTTTAAAATATTTTTCATAAGTTAAGAAATTTGGACCAGAAAAATAAAAGTAGAGAAAATAAAATTGAAGAATAAAGTGTTTTGTACATATCCCATGATTGTATGTATCGACTTAAAGAAATTATCTAGAAAGTATATGTTAAGTATCTGGTTAGAGAAAAATAAGCACATTGGGATTTAAAATATATGAATGCATCATAATTATGATTAGAAAGCAAAGCAGAAAGAAGTGTTGTAAACAGGGTACAGTCCCATCATCTAATGATGGGAGAGATTGATTGAAGATGCTGTGGTTGGGAGAATGTATCCTCCTATAACATTGTACATTCAAGAGAGAGGAAGGAAGGCAGGCAGATGGGAAAAACATAGAGGAGACAGAGGGAAGAGGAGAGAAAAAATGGAGATGGGGAGGGAGAAGACAGAGGAGAGAGAGAGGAAAGTGAAGACAGAAGGGAGAAAGAGGAGAAGTGAGAAAAAAGAGAGAAGATAGAGAAGAGCAAGAGAAGAGTGATACAAGGGAAGAGAATCCTAGGTAATGTGGTATTTTGAAGCAATGAAAAAAAACTGGTCACTGTTAATGAGGGTGAAACAAATGAAAGGTTATTATCCTCTTGTATTGAACTGCATGGTCAATTTTCTCAACAAATATTTTGTTCTTCACTGTTTCCATCATAAATTTCCTGTAACTTTACTGAAAATATACAGAGTAAAGAAAACTAACATCATGTAATCATCCCACACATCTACCATTATGATCTAGTCCTGTTCCTAAACTTTGTATGTGTGTTTGTGTGTATGTATATGTGTGTATACACACATGCATGGACATTCCATGTACTGAGTGTGGAGGTCAAAGGACAACTTTCAGTATTTGTCTACTTTTCACCTTGAGACAGGGTCTCTTCCAATTTAGCCAATGCAGTGTAATTCCAAACTAGCTGCCTGCTGAGTTTCTGGATGTTTCTCCTGGCCTGATCTACCATCTGCTCATAGTAGTAGGGACCACATACATATATAGGCTACCTCATTAGCCTTCATTTTCTATTATTGTAGGTTTTTTGTTTGTTTTGTTTTAACAACAAAGAATTAAACTTGGGTTGTGGAACATTTACATCTAGTCCTTTTACCCACTGAACATCTCCTGGTCCTTCTGTACACAACTTTCTTATCACTGGATTCATTCTGTGCACAATTTTCTCATCACTGAATTCATACTTCACAACAAGTTATAATTCTTGTACATTACAATCAAAATTACATTGCTAATAATGGTCATGCTAACAGTTTCATTATGTTGATCTTTAATTGCTTCTCAAATCCATAGGTCAGTTTGTATTATATCAGTTTTTATCTTTATGGATAACAATTGGGGCACAACTCTGTGCATGTCTGCTCTGCTCTTTGGTACTGTGGGCTTTAGAATTAGGTTTCACTGTGGGTGAGCAAAGATTTGCTTTGTTCCTTAGCATTTTTATTGCCTCATCCTTTCTGCTGTTGTGCTACAAAAAAAGATAAAGATGTTGATTTTTTCTTTTCTCCTTTTTCCCTGAAAATTACTGTTTTATTTAGTATTTAAAAGTTTTAAGAAATAAACTGTCTTTGTTAAGTGAGTCCATATGACAAGCAATTACAGATATGTTTACATGGGCTAATGAGCATCCTTTAAATGAGTAATCAAGTGGCATCTGCAATTAGTAAAGCTGCTTGGCTCACACATGCAACTAAATCTAGAGAAGCGTACTTACTTCTCTTACATTCCTCCTTCAGAGCTTGTAACTAAGAGCTGGTTATTATTTCTTCCACCATAAAGCTCAGTTTTGGAGGAATTCCAGTACCAAGCAAACCTGGAACCTTTTTAAAGAAAAACTTCCATGGCTGTATTGAAAACCTTTACTACAATGGAGTGAACATAATTGACTTGGCTAAAAGACGCAAGCATCAGATCTACTCAGTGGTAAGTCACCATCTCTCTTATCTGGTGGTTTTTGGACTTTGAATATATCTTGCTTCTGGTACTCCTGTGTACCTCTTCACACTGGGATTACATTACGAATTTAGAGTTTTCACCAGCCAAATCTGGGTATATAGTTCAGTTGAGACACTGCCTAACTACCATGCATGAAACCCTGGGTTCCATCTCTGACACAACATAAAAGCAGGTGTTTAAATTTTTTAAGTTGCTTAAAAAGTAGCAATTTAATGTAGAAAGGTTTTATTCTGGCTGATAGTATGAGAGAATACATTTCATCATGGAAGCAAAGACATGGCAGTAAATGTACAATGCTGACTGGTGACATCCCATCAGTACCTAAGAGGCAGAGTGAACAGGACTTGTGTCCAGGGTGTAAAACCTCTAGCCCATCTATCAGTGGCCAATCTACAGCAAAATCCTACCTCCTTAATGTTCCACAATCTTCCCAAATAGGGATATGTCCTGAATACTAAGCATTCAAACATGTGAACCTGTGAGGAATATTTCATACTCAATCCATAATTGTTGTGGTATTGCAGGCCTATAATCACAACACGTAGGAGGAGAGAGCCAGCAGATCAGAATTTGAAATCATCCTTTATTAAATAGCAACTCTGAGACATGCCTTTGCTACATTAGGCCCTGCCTCAAAAATTAAAAAATGGAATAAAACAATTCTGATTGTCCTACTAGCAGATTTTAAAGTACAAAGATCCATGTAAGAACTGTGAATTATTTCATTGGTAAAGTCAAGTACAAAGGTTCAGAGAATGCTGCTTTATTGCCTGTGGGGAAGATTTGAGATATATGCATACTAATAATGGAATTTCTTTACAATTTCTAAGTGCAGTGAAAGCATAGGTCTTGTTGAATTTTGTAGCTAGGACATTGAACTTCTTCCAATTGGTTATATTAAGTAGAGCATCTTAAATGCTACTGCACTGTTAGTGTCTTGGAGATTCCTTGTGGATCACTTATAATCCCAGTGGATTAAAGGATTCTGTAATTCACTAACATCTATTTTCTGTAACACATCATAAGTTTTATAAGGTGTCTTTAAAAAAATTATCTTTGAATTTCTCCTCCATTCTCCAACTGCTTCTACATCTCCTTGCACTCCCTTTTAAATCTGCAGCCCTTTTCCTTCAGTTATTCTTAAACACACACTGTTTTGCTGTTACTTATATGCATATCTTTTTAGGGTTAACTGCTTGAGTTTGGACAACCAATCAAGGGGCTTGTCCCTGGAGAAGACATATTCTCTCTCTCTCTCTCTCTCTCTCTCTCTCTCTCTCTCTCTCTCTCT